AACTATTCACCAGAATACTCTTCTGAGCAATCAAGCCGTTGTTCTTTAGTGTGGATTTACTGTCCACTTTTATCGCAAATGCTCTCCTTTCCTGGCCAGTAGGCGGCCAACCTCGGTGCTGCTTAACAGTTGAAACAGCCAGTTTGGTCTACCAGTTTTCGCGATCCATTTTAAGTCTTTTCTTGAGCAGTCGCTGCAGAAGCCACCGGTTTCTATGGTGGTCATACCAAAGCGGTATCTGTTACTTCTGGTCTATCACGATTACTGACCTTTATTAGATCCAGCCTTAGACGAACTCCCGACTCAGTAATCGATGTGTGTATTGCTCCAAGTTAGCTTGCATCCTTTAACCGATTGACGTCTCCATCAAACCAATATGTGAGGTTTTAGTTACGTCTTTCTGGGGATCCTGAGGTTGCGGCTTCCGGTCTTGCTGGCGTTGGTTTGGCTCTCAGTGAGAGAGCTGAAGCCGGACTATTAGATTGGATTCCAGTCGACAGTACGTTGTGCGCAGTGAGACTCAGATGTTCAACACCCAAATAAGGCAGTGACCACTCCTATGACCAGGAAGATGTGTGGCTCGTACCTCTCTTCTTAGTTGGTTAGGAATCAGAGTTTTTAGCCAACTCCCCTAGTTCACCGGCAGGGTTATAGTCGCGGATATTGGTATTTCGTCCTCTCACTTTGGTGGGAAAACACCTTCGCGACGCGAAAGCAGAGACTAAGGCTTCCTCAACAGGAGCCATTAGAGACACTTGGTCGTACGGGAGCATTTCGCGGCGTGCGAAGAAGAGGTAAACAGCCGCAACTCAAGACGTCCTCCTCGACCATAGCGAATTCCACAAGCATTCACGATGCTAATCCAATCTCTGCATTCGATCACCGATGTTACCGGAGGATTGCCCGTCATCGCACGTTGTGTGCGAATAGCAGTTCTCTAAGAGAAGTAATCGGGCCTTAGAGCCATAGAAGGCGATAAATACACCAATATAAAAAAGAGTACGGTGAAACAAAAATATTGCTCTTCTTGTTACCTAGGACCAAAACACCGGTTGGACACAAATGTTTCTCCTCATTGTCTTTTTCCGTACAATGTTTCGTTAACCTATGGGAGTTATGCCTTCCAGTGTTTGTCCTGTAATCAAAAATCGAGCAGAGGGAAGCCTCGTTCAGGATGTTACAGGAATGAAAAATTACGGTGAATGGAACAAGACAAGCACTCACCTTGTTCAACTCGCGCAGCATTTTTTCTGGTTCGAATTGATCATCCCGGATGGAGAACGAAGTGGCATCCATCGCCACCACTGTTCGTTTCCAACGACCCCATTCATCACTGAAACAGCGAATATTTCCGAATTATTTCCAAAATGGAACATTACACCATTTCAACATTAAACAGTTGGGAGGAATAATAAAACTGGATACGAGAGTTAGACGTGGATAGGACGACATATTTTCAGTGCTGTGCGCGATCGGTTGTAGCTTCGGAGTTCAGATCTATAATCCCAATCCTCCGTGGAAATAGTATGCGAACCTTCGTGATTCACACCATGAAGTCATGAACTGCATGAGGGGATAAACCCCGTTGCCACGGGAAACTACTGTTCATTTATGATAACTAGAAACCTAAGCTAGAAGTGGGACTTGGAGTGTATGGTTTGAATTCCTCAGTGTAAGGTTATGAGAATGTGAAATCTAAGTATTGAAACTTTACGTGGTACTGTGAGTTCATTTTGTCCCCTTTGTCATTCATCGAGACTTCCAATCGGAGGGTATGAACCGTGACACTGGAAACCAATTTCATTGATAAATATTCCGAATGATACCCGCCTCGTAGGAGCTCTATCTGTGATCACGTTACCAATGCATGGATCAAAGTGACTCACCGAGTGATATTTGAGCTGGACTGCTGAAAATCACCAGCCCAACGAAACGTGTTGCCATAACCCGAATGAGTAGAGTACTGCTCTGTACCCTCGATGATAACAGTCTCGTCGTCCGCCAGCCGCTCGATAAACAGACAAGAGGCAATCAATTCCGGTTGGAGCATGAACATGATTTCCTCCTGAACACAGCCCCGGTTCAGAACCCCTCCACCGAGATAACGATTTGCGAAATCCACCTACAGTACAACCAGTAAAATGGAGGGGGTACCGGTACAGACGAATTTGAATGAAAGTACAAAAAAGTATCTCAACTTTTAAATCAACTCGATCCAGACCGAGAAAAAACGAGCATTAATGAATCGAAGATCAGTTCTTGAACAGGGGGATACAAATACAAAGCCCAGAGATTCGATCAGTCTAATAATCAGAAATTCCAACTCATTGAAATCACGACACAATGGCCCTTCTCGACCAACAAAGCAACTGGTAGTGATCTAGCGGTGTCAGAATACTTGAAACGGTGTGTGAAGAGTTCGGTTGTGTATTCTGTGTTGAACATAGAGGTTCACCTTCTTCCACCTCTCTCAAAATAGGTCCAATCCCTGGCCACCCTAAATATTACCACCAGCCGTGTATGCATTGCGAGTTTGTGAGCGATCAGTGAAGTTCGCCTCCCTGTATTTCGTTTTACGACGTTGACGGTGATGATGATGAGCGGTGAGAGTCACCAGTTAAATCAAGTCACATTAGCTCGGAGGTCGCGTGTTCAATTAATAACATCAACACCGAGGCTTAGGCTTTTCCTTGTCACACCACAGCTCTTTGGTATACCGATTATCCCCTTCTGAAAATGAAGTTACATGCTGAAACATTCAGCAAGCGAAGTAAAAGGATGATGAATGAAGCAAATTATGTGTGAGACGCAGTTTGATGGGGAGATAAAATTGGTGTCATTATCATTCGAGCTCGGCGAGAAAGATAACACGTATCTCTGAGGTGACTCGAAGAGAAATGCAGAAACAACCAATCAGGGTAGTGGTGGTCCAGTAGTTTAGTTCTTGTCACCGACATGATTTGAACCCCGTGCTCCGAGGTTTGAATCCCACTACCGCCACTCACCTTTGGTCGTAAGCAGTTTTGCTGTCATCCGGTTCAACATCACGCCTAACCTGATGAGATGGCACAGCGAACTTCGAGACGGTTGATGTCTACTAGATGAGGCTTGGATTAAATGAAAAACTTCTCCNATGCCAAATGCGGTCGAAGGCCTTTGAAATAAGGAGCGAGACCATGTGAGTTTCTCCGTGGTTATCGAGTGCAGTCGACCATAAATGTGATGTGAACGCCAGTAGATCGACTATGGTGAAATCCATACTGACAGTCATTCAACAAACCTTCGCGTTCGAGAAGCGTACGCCGCTAGCCGGAGATACTGGTCTCAAACACTTTCGCGATATGATAGTGATGGAACGGTAGTTGTTACCTGCTGGATCCTCTTGTAGTTCTATGTGGCATGTATGTGTGCATGTAGTTCTATTTTCTATGGATAGTTCATAAATTTGAAAAGAAAGACAAGGTTGTGGCCAAGTGCGATGTTTGAGTGGTTAGAGTCATCACAATATAGCGACACAGTGGTCATGAGTTTGAACCGCGCCACCGCTACCCAGGTCTATTTCTGTATTTGCCAAGATAGACTTTCTACGGCCGCTTCTTCTCAACTGACTGGATATTTTTTGCTCGATGAAAAAATCAATAAGTAGTACTAATTATCGAAATAGTCCCACAGAGCACATTTCAAACAGAACAACAAAGTGGCGAACAAGCTCGTTTTCAGAGATTCATATTCATACCAATACATCTCAACATACATCACTACTTGGGAATAAAATTGTTTTGGGAAAATGAAACAAAACAAAATCACAGATTACCAGAAACGATTTCATCGCGAGACCCGAAATCCGGCTCACCATGATCACACATTTGTTTGTCCACTCATCCGATCATCGAGATTGAGATATATTGGCATGAATACGAATCTCTAAAAACGAGCTTGTTCGCCACTCTGTTGTTCTGTTTGAAATATTTCCGGATATTCAATTTCCACTTTAACTCTGTCGATTCTTCAACGCTCGGGGAAGCAGACCGTAGATAGCTGTATCCCATAAAATCAATCCCGTAGGCACACTCACAAAACAACAGTCAACACCGGCAATTATCTACATGACCGCATTAATCATGAACACGTAAGTTTCAAGTTGGTTAAAAAAATGTCTCAGTGTTTATCTTTGTTCTGAACGGAATGAAGAGGAACAAAAGCTTTCAATGAAAAAGAACAACCTTGATGAGCGTCAATCTCGGATTGAGTCGTTGAAAACACCCTGGATTGCAGGTGGCCGTGCGTCGAATGGAGCGTAATCGGAAGAGTCAATCTAGAACAGTCACTAACCACATCGAAGGATCTTCAAGACATGATGGTATGTATCTCTTCCTTTCACAGTTGGTTGGCTCCGCGCTTACAAGTCTATTTGTAAACTAACAGAAGGAACAGAACTGCACAAAACAAATAAAACGGTTTCAGCATTTTCTCATTGAGGCACAGAATAGATGTTCATCATCACCAAGATCGTAGGGGGTACGGTAAAGTAAACTCCACTGATCGCTGCCAAACACAATGCATACAAGGGAAATGAGTGTGTAAGGAGGATAGGGATTGGGCCTAATTCGGGAAACGAGGAGAGTAAGTGAACTTTTATGATCAACATACAAAATACACAGTTCAAGCATTCTGTTCTGATAAGAAGTGACAACACGAACACCACTGTTGGCTGTCATAACCTTCAGTGTCTCAAACCAACCAGTTACCAAATCTTTCAGACCCCAATCTGTATGAGGGAAGAAAGCTACTCTACCCGATCGTCCTGTGCATTTCTTCACGTCCCGTTTCCACGTGATCTGTTGACCTCCACGTGGTTTCCTCCAACCTGGAGCCGCAACCGCGAATAAGGCGCGATACGGTAGACGATAGCTGGGCATGTGCAATATGTGTCCTAAACACCGAAGCCTACTCACCCGGTTTCTATGTGATAACGAATTTTCCTCTGAATCATTACCAAATAAGCGATGGTTTATCTCAGACTTATTAACACGCTCGCACTGCCAAACCCGCTCCAATATGCGTAAACATCGACAGTCGAAACCGTCTCGAAGATAAATATCTTCCACACAAAATTTTAATATCGCGAACACGTAGAACAGAATTGAACGCATACCGGCGTAGTATATACGACCAGTCAGTTCCAACTAAACACCACGTTGACAGCAAAAAGTCGTTCAGTCCTGTGTACGCTGCCCATGTCTTCGAAATGCACGAGATCGCATGTTTGGCTGCGCTGCCATCGTTTGTCAGGCGACTACCTCAGGAGGAGAAACAACCTACTATAATTAATTGTTAACCATCAAACATCAAATCCGTGGCAGATGACAATCAATCTTATAGCATCACTTTGTGCTTTGAAGGTGCAAAGCGCATACCAAATGAAGTTGCAAAACTTGGAAGTCTGACAAGAGTGCTTTGTCCTTTCCTCCTATACATTCGAACAGATAGTCATCAGCGTACTCTAAATCGCATAGCTTTTCGCCAGCTACCCATTCAATACAAACATTTTACACATCACTTAATGCGTTATTCAGTAATTCGTCTGTGACGAAGTTCAATAGGAAATGGCGAAATAAAGCAATCGTAATTAACACCGTTTTTGGTTTCGAACGATTTGCTCAGATCATCGTAGACCGTTGAGTTGCCCGGAGCATGCAGGTACGTTGAACGCGGTAGGTTTACATACTTCCGCAGGGCATCCAATGGGGATTCACAAGCAACTGAACCAAAGGCTCCTTTCAGATAAAAAAAAACACTGCGATGTGTGTGGCGCAATTCGAAGACTTTACGCACAATGAAGATTTGATCAATGAAAACTGCGACCAGATCGGAATAATGCATCCTGCTCGCGAATATTCACCTCCACCCTAAGGGTGTCAGGCGGTGAAGTATCACAGAAGTTCACAAGTTTGCGTGATTCGTTCATGAAGATCGGAACGATCATTGATTCATTTCAGGATAAAGGGTTACGCTCTACCCACCAGATGCTGCGAAGTAAGCTAGTAATCACCTACCCCTACCCATCCCGATCGATACAGTGGGTAGTGTCGTCCTGCGACGACCGATGAAGCGTGGAGTTATTGTTTGTTTGCATGTTCATTGGAACTTCATGGATGGGAAGTGCTAGGGCGTTCAACCACTAAGCAGCAGCACGATTAGGGTTCTCAACCAGTCTTTATTTTTGACAAGAACTTAGCCGCAAGGTATCGGGTAAGGCGGAGTGAAAGCCCATTTACTTGGATCAATTACTCCTTCAGCATTTCTAACGACTGAGACGCCGACTCCAGTCGAGTCTGGAATACCAGAAGACAGGAATTCGTCTCACCTCGACCCTCTGACATTCCAGGCATGAATAGATCTTTGGTTCAACAAAATTCAACATATTATGTCATGGTGCAATCTCATCGTGATGCACTGCTAGATACACCAAGACTTACATCTAGGTTACTAATTCGCTGACCACAACCCACTTGGGCTAGTTTATGTAAGAATAGATTTTCGAAAACTCCGGTCGATGTATGTTTTCTATCCGCAAAAGACGTTGCCCTTTGAAGAATCATCGAAACAGAACATCAAGTGGTACAGGTATTAATCACCCGAAAGACTTCGGTTCAAATCCCGCACATCAAACAACGGTGTGTAAGGAGGGAACAGGGAATGGAAAACAACAACTCACGTGAATGGTGCACGGGCCGGAATCTTCGATTGTACCTTGGGCGTTCACGTGAATCCGGAGTTGGTCAAAGGAACGGGTACTGCTGGACCAATCTGGAGTAAAACCGGCCAATCGTCGACGTGTGAATGTAACCGTACCGGTAGGTGTGATTTCGGTGACCCGATGAAAATAGTGAAGCAGGCAGCGCAACTTCTCCCGTTTCCGGGCAAGCTGACTGGGACTGGAAAGGTGTGAGTGTAAATCTTAAAAGGACTGATGGGGTAACAGTACACAGTAGTTTGATGTATTTCACACAAAGAAACGCAGTAATTGAGAAGTTTATAACTATTTGCTGCATCGGCTCTACCGCCGAGACCCACATTCCAGTCCATTCACAATCAAATCAGTTTTGTGTTATGTGGTGGACTTCTCGTGGGCACTGCCTGGGAGTAGTGTAGTACCTGTCTCTGAATCGAATTCCATCTGACCTGATAATGCAAGTGTCATGATCTTAATCACCAGACTCGATCATGTAAGCAGACTGAACCCGAATTCCTGATTACAGTCCTCAGTCAGCACTTTTCGCTGACCAGATAGGTTTTGCTTTTTATTAGGAATTATTATTTATTCTCGTCTGTTCACCTAGCATGACGATTTGTCTGCAAACGCTTATAATCACCAGTCGAGGTGACATGTTCGACGTTTGTGGAATGAAAGTATTCTGCTTCTATCCGTTCAGTTATGTAGCGTTTTTGATCAACTTTGCCGTTGAACTAGTACTATGGACACGCGTCGCTCTTCCATCTGGATTGTGTTTCGTAAATCTGTTGGTAATCACTGGTTGGGATTCAATCCCCTCCATTCTCATTGATTCACTTGCTATCTTCCAGTAATGATAATACGCGATTATTTGTATGTATTATTTGGCATACCTGATTGCAATGTAGGCATACTGGGTGCAGAAGTTAACCATACACAATCTGTCTTCGTTTTCGCAATCCAGTTGTATTATGTCCACGAGCCATACACCTACCTGGTTCCAACAGTGGTCACCGGTTTGGTTGGACATCTAGGTGTACTGAGCACCTTAGACATTTGACCTCATCCAAAGGGCGCATGGCCCGATGAAATGGACGCCGACTGCGGTTCTCACGAAACACACGTCGTTGCTTTGTGGGTTTCACTGTTACTAGCTAAATGTTATGATTGTGAATTCTCCCCCAGGGAAAATTCATCTGTTTTAGCCTGAGCAACCTGACAGTATACCGCCCACTAGGAAATCATGGACCTTGTCTTTTGTCATAAACATTGTTGTACTGTGAACGGTTTGACAACCAGCGTGGACTCAGACGCATATGAATTATAACAAAATAGTTGTGCCCTTGAAAATGCTGATTGTACTGCCACGATTTGTTTGGCATAGTCTGAATTGACATAAGCACAAATATCGTATACAAAACCCCAGCGGATTCCCTGGGTTTGTCGCAGGAAAAGATTCCTAACAAAGACTAAATATGATTAGATTGATCTCAAGACCTCTCAATTTGACCCCGTATGAAAGAAGCATCTTATCCGCTTCGTAATCTTTCAAACCCCAAAAGCTGATACCAAAATGAGCGGGTATGATGCCGACATCAAGCTCCGGAAAGATGAGTTGTGCTATATCATACGTACATGGGCAAAGTGAAAAACTACCTGACCAGCTGTACGGTGGTTCAACCTATTAGGTCCCCGGGTTCGATCCACAGTTGGTTTGTTAGATTCGCATTGCTGGTAAGACCCAACTGGATTGACGCAGCTGCATAGTACCACCTAAATCTTCAGCGGAAACCTCTTGACTGATGAAATTCTGTATACAAAAGAAACCACATTTCACAACCAGAATCTGTCACTGACACCGTCCACCGTCTCTCAGTGAACCTCTAATGAACATTCGAATGAAATTCATCTAACCTCAATTGCATTTTTATTTTAAATTTAATTTTCTACTGAACGTAACAATAATCAGGTCCAACGCCGATGAAATGTGAGTCCAAAAGATGAGACAACGGCAAACACGCGGATAACCTCTTTAGTAAAAAAAAGAACCAATCGATCATTAACACGTTCCAACTCACGCAACACGTGTGGCTCCACGCCGAGGAACCTCTGTGAACAAGTAGGCACAATTGATGAATGGATAGGTTGCAAATTCAGCATCCAGTTTCCGGCTGTTCCGGCGAGGAAACGTACAAAAGAAGGCGTTCGCTATGATGCTGGCGATTTGCAACTGGCTCAGTGTCACCNGCTAAACGGGAATGAAAACCAGAGCAAATAATAAATAGATGCAGAAATCAAACACATCGAGTTTTACAATTGTACGGCATATGATAGCGTGGATCGCAGTGAAAAGGATGAGCTCTCCGGTCACCTATCACAAACAAATCGTACCATGATGCGCTGGTGCCCAATGGACTAAACGGCATGGCTTTTATCAAGCCAAAAGAGGTTCAGTGAGGAGAGGTCAAACAGAACCCAGCCCCTGATCCTCCAAGTTGGGGGCGCAACTCTGTAGATGAAATGATGATGGGTCTTCACTTCACGTTGCCCGATGATACCTTGTGGTTAGGTTTTTGTCAGAAATAAAAAACTTTCGTTGAGAACCCTAATCGTGCCGTGGCTTAGTGGTTGAACACCCTAGCAGTTCCCATCCACAAAGCTCCAATAAACATACAAACAAACAATAACTCCCCGCTACATCGATCATCATGCTAAATAATCTGGATCGCACTGCCCACTGTATCGAGCAGGGTGGGTGATGATATTCGGGCTACGGCCCAAATGCCCCAACATTTCTTTAACTCGCTGTCTTGCGTAATCACCCACCCACCCCCCTTGTTTTCTACCCATTCGTGCTATCCTTACCATTCCATCGACCAACCAATTCGCCACTCGTCGAAACCCGTTGCCAAATAACATTGCGGGCACATTACGGTCAAACAAATTAAAGATTGTGAAACCTCATAAACCTCTGAGTATCAGGGCCTTCCACGTGAGTACTTTCATGCAGTTAAGTCAGTAGTTTTGCCTGGAGCATACAATGGA